GGTTTCACAAAATAAAACAGAGCAAATAAAGTGTAATGATATTAATAAAAACAGTATTCTTCCACCAAACAATGTAGCTCCTCAGAAACAGTTGTGGTTGTAACAAAGTGGTTGCCGAGCAACAGACAAACGTAAACAAAGGTGTATGTTACTTTGTGGAGTCATTTACAACAGCTTTGAACGCGGCTCAGCCAATCAGAATCAAGCACCGGAACTCTCCGTTTTATAATAAACATTTACACATTCTCTGGATGCGCTGCACATGTGGTTTATAGCACTCCAGTAAGTGGTTTTTTCCTCTCAGACGCTGTTCCAGTACGTGACGGCGATCATGAAGGACGGGTATCTGGAAGAAGAGCGGAGCAAACGCAGCCACACGCTGACCTCCAGCAAAGAGCGACCGGACAAGAGAAACACGGCCATTTAATTTCACAGACCTGATGTGTACATACTGTATTTATTTCAACGCTTCATTTTTTACAGTACACAAGCTTCACGTCTCTTCTGAAGATGTTACCTGCACAAGATCGTGATTCTCAGTCCAAGCGTCTTTGGGATTTTCTCATGATCAAACCAGTGAATAAATGTTTGCAAATCTACAAGGCTGGTTCTGTTGAGGTCAAATAAAAACTCCACTGTTAGACCTCAAAAACTTTCAAGGGCGTCTTTCAAACTTAAAAATATCATCTCATTCAAGAAAATGAGAAAAACATTCAAAATAAAAACAAACAGTGGAGAACTGAAATATTAATATTATTACAACAGGTGGAGAAAGTTACTGACCGTGTAATGTTCACTCAGCATATAAAACACTGTTTTGAATCAAAATATGGCTTGAAATATAAACTGATGCATTCCAGACCAAACACAACGCATCTCATCTCCAGCTAAAGAACTCAAAAACCTAGTATTTAGTAGTAAACGTAGCTCTGCGTCCTCAGGCCGCTTGGTTTTGTTGGTTGTGGATCAGCAGAAGCCGCAGGGGCTGATGGGAAGGTGGCGTGGCACTACACACCTCTCCTTTACTGTCCATCACTATGTGGCTTTAGTTTTCTTGCTTTTACTCTTTTTGTCTTTCTTTTTCAAGCCGTCCATGTGCGCTCGCAACAAATTTGAATACGCCTGAGAAACAAACACATCTGTTGTCATATGACACACTTTTGACCACTACAGAAACATGTTATCTGTGACCCTGGAGCACAAAACCAGTCAAAATTGAGATTTTTATATAAGCTTAAATAATATTTCCATTGATGTATGGTTTGTTAGGATGCAACTATTTGAAAATCTGGAATCTGAGGGTGCAAAAAAATCTAAATATTGAGAAAATCATCTTTAAAGTTGTTCAAATGAAGTTCTTAGCAATGCATATTACTAATCAAAAATTAAGTTTTGATATATTTACGGTAGGACATTTACAAAATATCTTCATGGAACATGATCTTTACTTAATATCCTAATGATTTTTGGCATAAAAGAAAAATGGATAATTTTGACCCATACAATGTATTGTTGGCTATTGCTACAACAAATGAAGTTCTTAGCGATGCATATTACTAATCAAAAATTAAGTTTTGATATATTTACGGTAGGACATTTACAAAATATCTTCATGGAACATGATCTTTACTTAATGTCTTAATGGTTTTTGGCATAAAAGAAAAATGGATAATTTTGACCCATACAATGTATTGTTGGCTATTGCTACAAATATACCCCAGCGACTTAAGACTCCAAGGTCACATATTATGACATGATAAAAATATAAGGGACAATAAATACAGAATATTGTAAACAATTCAATATTCAGTGATCTGCTTTAATATATAAAATGAAATAAACAAAGCTGTGTGAACAAAATATTACAACTCACCATTTGAAATTTTATAACTTCTTTGGTGCTGACCTGAAAGACACATTAAAACAGATGTTACATAATATACGGCTTCTTCTGAAACAAATATCACTTATGAGTGACAACAATAAAACACAAAAACAGAATAAATTAAAACTGAAGCGACAGGAAATGTGATTAAAAAAAATCTAACAATTTAACATTTTTATTAAAAAAAAAATGAAAGAATCAAAAACAAGGTGAAAAGCATACAAAATAGCAAAAAACGAATACAGAAAATAAAGGGGAGAGACAAATATAAATAAGCAGCACTGACCAATGGTATTATAATAATAAAGAAAAGATAAATAAATAAACAATTGTTGAAATAAATACATGTGGCAATATTTATGGAGATAAACACATGTGGAAATAAATATAATTAAAAACAATAATCTAAAATAGTTCAAGATAATACAAATACATGGGAGAGAAAAATACGAGTAAGAATATTAGAATAAATACAAAAATAAACAATTGTTAAAATAAATGCGGTAATAATTAAATATGGAAATAAATACGTGGGGGAAAATTTTTTAAATAAATAACTGAAAGAACAGAAATAATGTTATTACAAATAAATACAGAAAATAATAAATAACAATAAAAATTTAATTTAAATAAAATAAATGAATGGCAACAAGTAGGGATGCAACGATTATAGATTTTGTTGGTACGATTATTGTCTGAGGAATAATCACGGTTTTACATTTATTATGCATTTATTCATTTCCCAACATTACTAATGTATAAAATCACACGAACACTCTTTAGATATTAAAGTGTTATTTATTGCTGGCTTTTGAAACAGAAATAACACCGTAACCAACAATACAGCACAAAATAATAATAAACAAAAGTCCATCTCTCCCATTGGAATTAAAAAAGCTGACCTCTGCTCTGTAAACATCCATGACAGTATTTCTCTTTTGAAAATATAAAATGGAAATAGATCACAAAAGTATTTAATGTTTTCAGTTTGTACATTCTTTACATTTCTTTTGGACCTGGGGTAGAGAATTTGGAAACATGGTGAAAAAAAAAATATGTTGGTTTTTACTTATGAATAATACTACAACAGGGATAGTAAATAACAAAGTTAATGAAGTAGCCTATTATTAATATACGACTAATATTAACTTTATTTGTCCCACAGGGGAAACTGTTACTAATGATGGAAATAAACTGAAATATTATTGTAATCAACTGTCATCCATACGTATTCATTTGAATAATCTTTATAATAATTCATATGACTACATGTGGCCTGAGAAAATCATGTCTATTATTTTGGTTTGTGAGATCGCGCTGCGCACGTGTACAAACATTCAGGAGGACACAAACTTCTTGAGAATGCTGCCCCGTGACTTTTATTAATAAAATAGATTAAATAGCCTACTGGAGAGACGCACAGACGCAGGTAGGCTAATTCACACAGGCAACTGTCACCTCTCTCTCTCTCTCTCTCTCATAATTAATTCAAGTAGCTAAATGTTATAATTAATTCAAATAAATGTGATCTTACCGCACTATTTCATCTCTTTCTGATCTGAAGCGGGCAGAATGCGGAGCTAACGAGCTGTAGCTTCGC